GTCAACGTGGGTCCTCTGCAAGTGGGTCGGTATATGGGTCCGTGACGATCGTTTGTGTACGAGATCCACGTTGTATCCACTGCAGTCCTTTTCGTACAATCTCGGTTTGTATAACAGATATTGCAAGTGTCGATTATACTGGGTATCACTGACGCGGCTTCACAGCTCGGTCAATCGATACTGCAGTTCCTTGGCTGCTCTCGTCTCGTTGCGTAGTCCTGTTTGTTCAGTGTTGTTTTGCGAGTTGTTCATGGATCGTAACATGTTGATACATCACTGTTGATTGGGAACATGGGACACAAGAACCTCAAACGTCAAAGTGAGCTACAGCTGTATTTTGATAAGATCGTGCAAGATGTTGCAGAAGGCTGCGAGGATCTACAATATCCACTAATTTGGCAGCAAACCATGGGTCACAAACGGTATCCTACACTACATCAGATGGCTCTTGACTACTTATCCATCCCTGCAACGTCTTGTGAGTGTGAGAGGGCCTTCTCAGCTGCCAAGTGTACAATTTCTGTTGATTGTAATTGTCTTGCGCCTGTGATGATTGAGGCAATACAACTACAAAAACACTGGCTGCGTGCAGGCATCATCAACAGCGAGTTGATCAGCTTGTCAAAGAGACTATCACGCAGCAAGATCCTCCCAACAATGTACAGGCGTTAGATCAAGTAATTGATGGAGGCTACAGATTTGGCGGGATCCTTGTGGATCAGGATTTGGACCTCAATATGGACAGCCAGGTGGCGTACGATGACTCCTTCAGCGCCTCATTCAGCACATAGATCTCTAGTTTGTAGCTAGTTTACATACAAATTAGAGACTGCATCGTGCAGCTTGTCCGCAGCGCAGTGTACGCAGTGCCCTTGGATGTCCGCAGCGCAGTCTGTACGCAGTTGACAGGACTACTGAGAGGAAGGTACATACGCAGTTCCCTCCCTCGTACGCAGCAGCTAGTTAACACTGCGTAACGCAGCCGTATGCGTGCGTTTGGAAACGCTGTCGAGATGTGCACGATGACCTCAGCAATGTCATCGCTGCCCAGGTCGTACACCGTGACGCCGTCCCATTGTCCAACGTCAATACCAGAGGACCATGGCTCGATGTTGTTCTGGTTCTCACTGTCCGGACCCGTCCCTACCTTCCAGAGAAACTTTCCGTCTCTCCGATACGCTTCGAGGTCTTGCTGAGTTCCATGCCTGTCGATAAGGTAGTCTACTCCCCGTTGGCATCGAAGTTGATGACCCAGACATACTTGACACGGGCACCGGGCCTGATCGGTACACGTACAATTGACTCTTGTGCGTTGTTGGCAGGTAGTGTGAAGCTGCCGCTAGCTGGTGACTGCTCCTTCCCGTTGATGACCGAGCGGACCCAGTACCTGTTGGACTGTCCTAGGTTGGCGGTCGAATCAAGGTAGTTTGTGCCTTTGGTCAAGATCTCAGAGTCAAGACGAGTGGTATTGGCACCGTTGCTGGAGCGGTAGATGGTGAAGCCAATGTTATCGGTATCGAGACCGAGGAGGAGCCAGCTAATGAAGGTTGAGTTTGCGCTGGAACGGACGGCGGCGACACCTCTGCCTAGCTTTTCCGTTGGGCGAGGACTAGACTGTCGTTTCACGGGTAAAGCGAAGATGCTGCATGCCGTAGAGGCAACGGTAATGAGTGTCGAGAGCATCATGTTGAAAGCTCAATTCTTCGATCAGTGGAAAATGAGCGTTGAGAAGGGGGCGAGCATCATAGTTACTCTAACATAAAGAAGAGTTGCGAACAGCTTTATACACGCTCTGATTGACCTGAATGATAGCAAGTTGAGCACTACTAATGTGACGTCCGAAGAGGGTGGACAAACCTGGGGCCCTTCGGCACAATGGCGACGGTTAATTTAGTATCAAATGTTGCTGGAAAGTTTATTGAGGATCCTTGACGGTCAGAATCTCACTCCTTGAATGACCGAACGTTCATCTTCACGCCTAGCACTACCGATTCAAGTGCAGATCGTGCCAAGTGCACGTGAAACATTAGTTCTCAAGGCACGTGTAACCCCCAGATTAACTACACCCTGTCGAACCTTGCGTCGCCCCGCAAATAGATACTGCGTCGACACCCTTTGCAATTTGGTCGGATTGATTGAGTTCAAGATTAATAGCGAAGACCGATAAGCCTCGAGAATCACCAACAAATACATGTTTGCGTGACTTGATCACCATGCACAATGTCCTCCATCAACTCGAAGATCCTGATCTCAGTGTTAGTGTTGGCTGCCTTGTATGCATCAACAATGGCTTTAACGACAATCCTGAGACTTACTGCGCCAGTCATGTAGCTACTGCCTTCGCTTAACAAGAACAATACCGGTGCCCGATACTCCTCAGGCTGACTGATCCTTCCCAACATGTTCTGATTCGCCCACTCATCAGTCAAACCTCTCACCCTCGCGGCCTCACTCAACGGCGTATCGATGTGCCCGGGGCTCAGTGTATTGACTCTGATAGGCGGATATACCCGTCTTGGCTCAGTACTTGGGTGAGGATTCGTCTCTGTCTTAGTGCTGCCCGGAAACGTGTTCTGCGGATGTCCCCACTCAGCCGCGAACGACCGAGCCAGCTGGTGCACTGCAGCTTTCGAAGCGTTGTATGCTGAACTGTTGATCCCGCGATTGCTTACGTGGCCGCTTATGCTGGCGATAAGGACAATGCTTCCTGTTACATTGGCGCGATGCATTTCGTTCGCTACTGTGCGCGTGATCAGGAAGGTGCCAGTCATGTTAACGTCGAGGATCTGACGAAAGGTGGAGACTGAATAGTCGCATGCATCACTTTCTCCTGAGATAGCGGCGCAAGTGACGAGCCCTCGAATTGGGCGGCGCAATCCCGTACGAATCTGATCCATGGCGGCCATGATAGTTGCTTCGTCTTGGACGTTGAGTTGTTGGTATCGAGCTTCTGCATTAGAGACCTCCGTCGATGCCAGAACATCGCCTGTTATCTACGTCAGTCGTGTATGTAATGCTCCGCACTGCGACTTACGCCATTTGTCCTCGGGCATTTGTGGCATCAGATCGAGGAAGACTACATCGCCACCACTTTCTAGGATCGCTTTCCCAACGATTGTACCGACAGCCCCTGCACCTCCTGAGACTGGCCGGAGTGGTCAGCGCTAATACATATTGTCTGATCCTGATGAGTGACAGGACCATCACCAACGCCATACCTAGGATGGTTCGTCCATCAAGTCTGAAAAGGTCTCTGGTCGCTATCTGTGTGGGTGCAGGGTGTGTCATTTTGAAGAAACTTCCAAGTAGTAGTAACAATGAATAATTCGTGTATAGATTTTGGAGACCGACACATATGCCTAATGGTGATGGTGTAAGTGTGGTTTGCGGGGCTAGACGCGGTATGACGTAGTGTTCTTCTCGAGGTGCAGCACGAATCCCTTAATCCACTTCAATCAGTTTGTAAATCATGTTTAAAGCTTCGACAGTCCGAGTGATCTTGCGTACCTATTTGATGTCTCTGGATCATTTGTCGATCTATTGCTCTCATCACCTCATTGACTATAATCCTCCGAGTGTGTACATACAAACGAGCCTTCTTTGACTTTCAAGTATATACAACCTATCTTCCGTAAAGCCTTTCTTGCTTCCAGTGATGCCACCTGCTATAGCCAGACTACTCGTTAATGCGATGCTGCCAGACTTCCTGCTCAGCTCTTGCAGAGTAGGTACTCGCGCCCAAAATCGCCTGCATCTGCTCAACACCTGTGAACATAATCTGCCTGGCAACGAACCACCTGACGCCCTCGTGGCAAGGCGGGCTGGTCAAGCTGCCCTGGTAAGTCCAGAACTCGTTGAAGTACTGCACCGAATCCATAGCAAGCGAAAGGTCCAGTTCGGTAGGCTCCTGAATGCCCATCTCATCGAAGCCAATCATTGGAGGAAGCTGGCCGAAGAAAATGCTATTGAAATTACCAGGATCAAGACGGAAGGCCAGGACAGCACCTTCATGACCCTCGGCATCGACATGGACGAAGTGCATCTCGGCCTTGCTGCGATCGCCTCCGACAGAGTGATCAGCCGGGGCGTGGATGTGCCAGCCCTTCAGATAGAGAGTCTCATTGTCGTAAGTGAAGCTGGGGTGCGATGTCCAGTCTCCGTTGTGGGCAAGCGTGAAAGCAGGACCATAACCCCAATTGAAGAAGTTGCCAGCTATTGACCCGGTATAGTTGAAGGTTGGAACGTGGTTGAGTGATAGTCCATTGTCGAGGGAGAGGGCGATGGGCGATTGTTGTGTTCCAGTTTGGCAGAGACGGTAGTCTGGGCTCAACTTGCCCCAGTTGAAGGACGCCTATGTACGAGATCAGCAAAAACGTCTTATGAATGGCGTGATGGGTACACAAACCTCATACGCCCAAGTATTTTGTGTGATATTGATATTGGGGTTCTGCGCAGGGTTGGTCTGGCGCCCTTGCAGATGTGATCGTTTGTTGTTCGAGTGCTGTGGGCATCCAAGAACTGATGGTGCAAGTGCGACGACGAGGGCTAGTGACGAGAAGAGCATGACTATTGTGTGGTGTCTTGCGAGTGATGAACAAGAGTGTCCCTCCAGTCATGCGTGCGAGGTCCTTTATGAAGTCCACGAAATGAACTCCGCCTCCTTGCACAAGTTCGATTTCCTGACCGCATCGCAACGAGAAAGTGCCAAGGGCAGCACTGCACTTGCAGGCAACTGGTGTGGAAGCCACCAGTGCCAAGAGCCATCATCTATCTACGCACCTGTACAGCCGCCATGCACGCGTCATGGGCCCTGCTTCACAGGCTGCAAGTCATGCGTAAAACTATTGAACAGGGAGCCAAAGACGAGTTTGATGTAGCAAAATTTATTGATTGAAGAGTTATATACTAACAGAGGAGGCCTGAATGTATACGCTGTTAGAGCTTGAAGTCATGTGATATGCCGAGCTTTGACAGAAATTTGGACATGTCAAGGTCCCAATCCCAAAGCTGACGGGAAACATCTCGTCTGGTAATTGAGGCGATATGCGGAGTGATCAACTTGTTCCTCCTATCGTGAGATGCGGGCTTGACTACAAATATTTGGTGGCTTGTTCGGCTCTTGGCACATCGAAGCAAGCGTGCACCCTGCACCGCGCCTATGCAGGACCTCCACGTGCTCACTACAGATTGCAAAGAGACTGTTAGGCCGTTTCGGGGAGATGTTCGACAGGTTCATCGGGACGGTGCGCTAATCCTGCCTCAGATCTCGCATTTGCGATCTACCAGGAAGTATTCTAGCAGGACGTCAAGCTGGGTCAAGAAGTCCCGCCCCACACAACAAGCTGCTGTGCTCGAACTGCAAGTATCTCCTGATGGTTACGTTACATAGATGGCGATATGATGCTAGGATAATCAAGGTCTGCCATGCTTGTCAGAAGCCTTGGAGAGGCGTTGCTTGGTAGCCTGGATGAAGGTCGCTCGGGCAATGGACTCGACTCGAGACGGGCGGCAAACATTCCTCTCCAACCGTCTTGTCGGTGGCTGTAGCTGTCGGTGAGCGTTGTGTGTCAACCATCTAGCGCTTCAGACAGAACCGATCGGAGCATCCGGGCGTTGTCTGACATGGCCTCTGAGCGGTATGTGCAAGCACAGAAGCTCTGGGCATTGCATTGTTATCAAGCTATAGAACGCGTCGAATGGTCCCGTCACAATACCCTACAATCCGCTAAAGAGTCCTGTTAGCATTTTGTATCAACTTCTTCCCGCGGAAGAAAGAAATGGAAGTTCGGAATGGCAAACATGACCGGGGGGTACATAAGCTACACCGTCTAGACTCCGCTGTTAGGTTGTAGGGAGGGTTGCGAGGATCGAGTCGAGGTCTGAGATTTTGGGAGTCGCGCTGGGCTGTGCTGCAGGAACGGCGGGGAAATGGCGGCTTGGCTGCAAGGTCCGGCGGAGTGATGATCTTGAATTCATTGAAACTCTTGGCCTCTGAAGTCAGGCTTTCTTCAACGGCAGACACAAGGTCAGCCTGGCGTTCAGGCGATCGACAAGCCTAGGTGTCGGTGGAAGCAAAGCAATGCGTCCTAAAATCTGATTTCGGAATGACAAGCAATATGATAGGAAGTCGGCACCTGATTTGCGCAAAGAACAGCATGATATTGAGAAGACTGGATTGGAGAATACACAAATTGGTTCGTATACCTCTTGGAGCAAAAGGTGTATCTCAGATCTCGAAAGCGCCATTGCTGTGTACTTGCTCATACTCTAGATCTGGCTGGAACTCCCAGTATAAACTCTCCGGGTCGCTGGCCATCTTGAACGTGTATGCGGCCGCTTCATCGTCGACATATACTTTTGGCACGCCGTTCGCCGCTGCAGCCTCGACCATAAGCTGTATCTCGCAGGAGCGTTCCATGAGGGTGTACAGGTATGCAGCTTCGTCAACTGTATCTCCTACAGTCTGGGACCTGTCAGATTGACCTCTCGCAGAGTATACACGAGTGTTGCGAGGGACTTACCAGGAGTCCATGGTTTCGCAGAATCATACCCTTACCCTTGGGTCCTAGAGCAGCCGCTAGACGATGACCCTCTTCTTCGCTAAACACAACGCCGCCGAACTCGGTATACACAGCTTGAGCATCACCATAGAAGTAAGTCACGTCCTGGTTGATCATCTCGAGCGGCCTGGCAAAGGTGCTCCACGCCTTGCCTGCTTTGCCGTGGGTATGGCACGCCGCGTTTACATCAGGTCTTGCTTTGTGCACCGCCGAGTGTATCAAGAAGCCTGCTGCGTTCGCCGGTCGGCTTGTGTTTCCTCCTATCGGCTTGCCATCGTAGTCGACCAGTATCATGTCGGACGGTTCAAGCAGGGCAAAGTGCCTGCCTAGTGGGTTTGTCCAGAAGGCATGAGGATTTTCGGGGTCGCGGACAGATATGTGACCACTCATCCCTTCGGTGAAGCCTTTGCGCGCGAACACGCGGAATGCTCCTGCCATATGATTCAGGATCCATGCGCGCTCCTTGTCGTGCGAGGAGAAGAGGGGTATGCCTGGCAAGCACACTCCTTGAGAGATAGCCTGCAGGGGAGTCTTTTCCTTGGATGCGTCTTCGTTTCGAGGTACGAGCTGCTTGGTCTTGAGGGTCGAGGCGGGCTGAATGGCAACAGCTGAGGGTGCCATCTTGATGATCAGAAGGAGAGGGGCTCTAGCTGCAAGTAAGTTGAGGGACGGATGCAGGGGCAGGTATCAACGAAGAACTGGACTGGACAAAGAGGTCGCGGTTGGAACCTTCTAATTATCTATGCCTCCATTACTAATGGCAGGTGACTATTGCCGATAGTGCGTGGGGAAGGTTGAAGGTTGTTGATAACAATTGCGGGGAGGTTAGGGCGCTAGTCGCTGGGAAATGTGGGGCAGGGCGTTTGTGACGGAAAGAGCCCCTCAGATCGTGTCCATTCATCATCACCATTTGTGACATATGTCTACCCGGCAGATTTACATACCCCTGCAAGCGTAAACCAGAATCTTCTATCAGTATCTAGAGTCGGCGGTATCCAGATCGAACAGCTCATGCTCGAGCTTTTTGTATTTCCCGAAGGACACTCGCGTCAGAACTGTCGTTAAGCAGTAAAGGCCCGCCAGACACGCGTACAATGTTGTCAGATGTGGGCCCTTAGCTGCTCGACTGACCGCGATGCTCAGAGCTGATGCTACAGTTACAGTGTACAGGTTGAGCGCTGTGACTAGCGACTTCGAACTTTCCTGCGCCTTGGTGTAGGTATACTCTCCTGTTGCAATAGCGAACAACGCTTCTGACAGGGCGAATAAAGTATAGGCCGGGAACTGCAGCATCACATGTACCCTCCATGGGATGATCCCGCCGTCTGATGCATCGCATGCTAGCGGGTATGAGTAGCATCGTCCAGCGTTGTAGATGATGCACTGAACAATGGCTGACCTGGCTATTCCTACGGTACTGCCCAAGAAACCAGCTGTAATGCGCGCTATGGGTCTGTGCCGTATCTTGTGCTTCGGTGGGAAGGGTACACTCCCGTGCGCAATACATGATTGATTGATTGATTGATTGGTTTAACGTCCTATCTGAGTCTAAGACTATGGAAGAGGAGAGGAGCACTGCAAAGATTTAGTTACATGAGAGGGAGGTCAATGGAGGTACAAGGGATGGTTAGGGCTCAGGCCCAGAGCAAAGATGCTGGGAAAAAAAGAAGTACAAAACAAACAAGCAAAGGAAAGAGCAGATGTTATGGCAACACTATGCCTAGTCTTCAGGTGACTGCCCAAGATGCCACCTCCTTGTGCCAACCTTGATTGATTGATTGATTGATTGATTGATTGATTGATTGATTGGTTTAACGTCCTATCTGAGTCTAAGACTATGGAAGACGAGAGGGCATAGCTCCTCTGGTAATGCAAAGATTTAGTTACAGGAGGGTGAGGTCAATAGGGGTACAAGGGATGGTGAGGGCTCAGGCCCAGAGCAGAGTTGCTTGAAACAAAACAGGTGTAAAACAAACAAACAAAGGAAACAGAGGCTGTTGTGGCATCACTATGCCTGGTCTTCAGATGACTGCCCAATATGCCACCTCCTTGTGCCAACCTTGGTCCTGCTGATGAACTCCAAGGTGGCCTTGATGCCTTGCTTGGTGTGGAGGAGGAGAGGGAGAGTCAGCTGTACCTTACCAAGACTGTCCTGCAGGATTTTCCGGTCTGTGTTCAGCCACTTGCAGCTCAGGAGCAGGTGCTCAGGAGTCTGCTTGGCTCCACAGCTGCAGAATGGGTGGTCAGTCTTGCCAACCCTGGACAGGTAGGC